TGTGAGAGAATCGGTTGAAAGAAAGTTTTAGTCTATTATCATCGTCGTTTATCTATTTAAATTGAATAAATTGATACAGATCTTCTACTTTCGACGTCACAGCCAAATGTCGTTGTTCATCCGATGTCAGTTGAGTCTTTACTTGTTCAGTTACCTTCGGTAAATAGTTACAGAATATCAAACATTCATTGCGAAAACCCATTTCTCTAAGTTTTTTAATCAACCGTATTCCAGCATCATCCGATGAACTTTCATTATCACGTTTCATATCGGTTACAATTCGAAATGTAACACGATTTCGAAGACGTTGACCGAACGGCGATTTTAGAAATGAAAGGGCAAATTCTGTAGTTGATTTTGGTATGAAGTGTATGTTGATATTTAATGAACGTGTAGCCGCCGACTCCATGTGACGTTTACTGTGCCATTTTGGACTGAATATATGATCATCAACCCATAGTACAGTATATTCACTTAAGCCTAATTCCACTTGTCTCAAATTAATAACATGTTTCTTGCCATCAAACGACAGTGTATGATCTACGACGAGAAATGTTGAATGGGGCAGAAATAGAATTTCTTCTTCCTTTGGAAAGATGGAGAAATCTTGAATGCCACGACCTGTTGCAGAGTAAATTTTAAAAAATGTATTACTACGCTTAACAAAATGTGGTGGTGCATTTTGTCCTTTCATCGATGAACTAAATTGAAACCAAGAAACAAGTGCACCAGGTTCATATTCCGACAGTTGTTCCTCGTTAAGTGAAATAGCACGTGAACAGACACCCCAATAGAAAGGAATATGTGCGAGGCCACGAATGAGATAGTAGAGAATAACAGCTGAATCTTTCATATCACCATGATCAATATTGGCAATTGCTTCACCATTACTCTGTCGTGCAATTACACTTGAAGCTCGATTGATTCCACGATATTGATTATTACCATCACTGCCACACTCTGAACCAGTATAGAATGCAATAGCAAAGGCTACAGCACGTGCATCATCTTCCGATAGGCCTTTTCCTCTGAAGAATGAAGCCGTTTCATCACTACGTTTGATATGTTCCTCTAAACTACGTTTACTTTCATACTGTCCGCATACTTTTTTCAGTTTTGAATAGGTAAATACACGATTCTTTGCCATATCTAATATTGTTGGATTGAAATTGTCTTCGTAGACGAGATCACGGTGTCGCCGTTTTATGATTGCTTGACAATCGAGGATTTGTATATTTTCAAGTATTGTTTCACTACTTTCCATATCAATCTGACGTTGTTCAACTTGCATTTTGAAGAGCATCTTTTCGAAGGATGCACGTGGTATAGCAGCTATAACTTTTGAAAATAGACTTTTATCAGAGATTTTAATGTTTGACGGCATAGGAAATAATTCACGTGTGACAG